TGCCATTTTACATTTCTTCTGCATGATTTATTCTGGTTTTGCTAATCATAAGGAGAGGCAGATACCCTGTATTGAAATAGTCCCTATGTCAAATAAATGCATTATTCAATACTAAGAGTAAGGCCCGTTGTGGGAAGTAATACGAGTTCTAGAAGGAAGCTCCAGGTGAGTGTCCCGGCTGTGGCTGGTGGGGCGGCAGAGGGATGCGGAAAATAGAGGGAGGCAAGCCATGTTTATTTCCTTCTGCTTAGCTATAAGGCAGGGCTGTCTCAAGTCATTTTGCTGCCCCAATTGGGTAGTATGGGAGGACAGCCTCATGGTAACAGGTATTGTTCCCTCCACCCCTGATTTATGTTGATTTGGGGTTATGCCATAGCAGCTAAGGTAGAAAAGCACCTCTTCCTATGCCATGTCTTCTGGATTCCAAGGGTCTGGAAAGCAGTTCCATAGCCAGATACAGGGTTGCCAACTCTGGGTTGGGAAATACCTGTAGATTTGAGGGGTAGAGCCTGGGGAGGGCAGGGTTTGGGGTGCGGAGGGACCTCAGCAGGGTATAATGCCATAGAGTCCATTGCCCAAAGCAGCCATTCTCTCCAGAAGAACTGATCTTGGAGATCTCCAGGTGCTGCCTGGAGGCTGGCAATACTAAGGGGAGGGCCAGACCTATAGATTTGAGGGGTAGAGCCTGGGAAGGGCAGGGTTTGGGGACTTCAGCAGGGTATAATTCCATAGAGTCCACTGCCCAAAGCAACCATTGTAATAGCTGGGAAATTTTCTGTAGGGGAAATTATGTGCTGTGGCTGGGGAACACAGTGATTTTCTGGGAGATTTCCAGGCCCCACAGGGAGATTGGCAACTCCAGTGACAATTTAAGGGAAGATTGGGATATGTATTCTGGCAACTCCGGTGACCGTTTAAGGGAAAATTGGGATATGTATTTTACCTCAGGACACAGTCAATGGCTCCCAACAGCAACAACAAACAGGCCGCATATGCAAATGACCTCTGTGTTCCGACTGGCTATTGGGGGGAGAGGAACAGCAAATTGTTTAGAATATTGGAGGTGAGACTCAGGCAACAGAGCCAGTGGATAGGGACAGCTTCTGAGTGACAGATCAGGGAGCCAAATGAATTGGGAGCGTGTGGAATGTTCAGGAGTGTGCCACCCGAAAACACAATTATTATATAGAGAGATAAATGGTGCCCTTTCCCCACCAACTATCTGATCCAAAAGATAAACTGAAAAGCAAAACAGACACTAATCAGTTTGTTACAATCACACTGAGAAATCAGATTTGCTTTCTGTATGTGCCTGAAAATCTAAATTCCACTCCACACCATATGGAAACCAGGTAAACAAAGAAAGAAAAAAAAAATGAAAAACTGTATACTCCAAAAAAGAGATAGATGGCTAACAGATGCTTCATCTTCTATTCAGATTTTAATTACTGTAACCATCATCATCAGTATACAGTATACATATGGAATTGCAGAGAATCTGTTACTGAAATATACTCCTTAATTTGTAAATATATTAATTCTATTCTAGAACTTTACATCTTACACACAGAAAGGAAACATTATCTTATTTACAAATAAAATCAGCCTAATTCATACAATGTAAGGTGCCTATAAATTCATGTTCATTAAAATAACAATGAAGCAATATTGGATGCAACTCTGCAATATTACTGATATTGCAATATTGCTATATTAGGATGCAATTTTACAATTATTTGCTTAATGTTGTCAGCTGAATGTAGATAAAACCAGTAACATTCCTGAAAAATTGAACCCAAAAGTATTCACCCTCAAAGCATTTCACAGGAGTAGCAAAAACCTTTGGGAACTTCTCCACTGACACATATGAAAGCTGCATAAGAGTCAGCCTCATGGCAAACTCCTTAAAGCATCATGGATGGCCTTATCACACAAATTCATCAGTTAGCCCATTTTTTCAGTGAACGATCATATTGTTCAAGGTCACTGCTGTGTTGCCTTGTCACAGCAAATAGCAAACAGACTGCCTAATTCATATGCCATTAGCAACATACTAAAATTTAGCACGCTGCCCCTTCACCCTACATTCAGAATGTTTGTTGATGGCCTGTAAAATCATACTGTCCTCCTATGGCAATCAATACTAAGAGTAAGGCCCGTTGTGGGAAGTAATACGAGTTCTAGAAGGAAGGCAATCAAAAAGTTCAAATTGGTTACATACAATGGCTGCTTCCACAAAGGTGTGATCCTCTGTCATAGCAGGCATGGTGGGATAGAAGAAGAAGAGATTGGATTTATACCCCACCCTTCTCTCAGAGTCCCAGAGCTGCTTACAAACTCCTTTCCCTTCCCCTCCCCACAACAGACACCCTGTGAGGTAGGTGGGGCTGAGAGAGCTCTTGACAGAACTGTCCTTGAGAGAACAGCTGTGCCAGAACTATGGCTTGCCCAAGGTCATCCAGCAGCTGCGAGTGGAGGAGTGGGGAATCAAACCTGGTTCTCCCAGATTAGAATCCGCATACTTAACCACTACACCAAACTGGCTCTCAAAGAGAAAGTGGTGCCTGATATCCACGTGTGACCTAACCAACTTTGACTGCAATGTTTCCAGAAACATTGGTTCAAATCAGGTTCGAGAAATATCAGAGCAAATGAAGGGAAATTATGGAAGGCAACAGAAGGACACCAGGGAGAGGAGTATGTTGTATGGATGCTCCAAAAAAACCCAACTGCTGTATGAAAGCTGAGGGAGAGCAAATCCCCACACACAGAAGCAGCCTTAATACAGCAGCAGCTAGCTGTGCAACCATGGTCTAGCAAGCACCACAAGCTTTTTCCTATCTCCTTCCTTTCTACAAGGCCCAAATGCAGGCTATTCTGATTCTTGGAGTGATAGGGAACAATTTTGCATGCTGTAAGTTTGCAAGTTCATTTTTTTTTACTGTACTTCATTTATCAAAGCACTCCTCAAACACTGTAGTACTGTTCCTGAAAAATCTGCCAAACAAAACAAACTGTGTAAGAGGTATTGATAACACTGGTGCTAAGGGGTACACATTGATAGTGTTGCCATCCCTTGGGTAGTAGGAGAGACATAACAGGCAGCAACTGGAGGAGGAGGCAACATCCACCAGCTGACTTCCTCTGTCAGGCTTTTGTCCTAAAGAAGCCCCCCAGGTTGCCTTTCATATAGAGGCTTCCTCCAGAAAGAGCTGCAGGTGCCTTCACTCCTACAGGCCTTTTATACATTTCTGACATGGTTGGCAGGTGGCCTTCCTATGTGGCGTCAGTGACTCATCAATTTTGGCTGGGCCAATCATGTTGTGGAGCTGCCACCTTCCCTCCCCATGCATACACCACATTTTATTTTAAAAACTACACCCAGGACAAAGAATGCTATAATGAAATGGTTTTACAGGAAGTACTGCTGTATTCAGTGTATGACTCCTACCTGCTTCCTGTAAATGCAATTCTCACACTTTAGTCCTTTGTTCATTGCCTAAATCAGAATACCTTTATAGTCCTCCCAGCTGTTGCTACCTCTATTGCCTAAAACTAGCCCCACTGACAGAAGCCATCAATACTGGCTTCCTACAAGAACGTAATCTCTTCAGGTTCAACATAGTAAAATGGAGGTAGGCCACAGTCCATTACTATGGCAGTAATACCAGCAGCAGCTAAGGGGAGAACAAGCATAATTTATCATGGCGGCAGCCTCCTCTTATATATATAAACCAACAGCCTCACCTGAAAACCACAACAAAATCACAACATCTCATTCTAGCGAATCCTCTTTGGCCACAAAGCTTTCCTCTGTCTATTGTAAAATGCACTTGCATGTTTTTCATTCTAACTGTTCTCTCATCTCCTAAAATTAACTCAGGGATGATCTCACCATGAAGTTCTATGAGCAGCAGATTCTAGCGGGAAAGGCAGTTTTGCTGCCTCTGGTATCTATCACACACACACATCCAGCCATATATAAATTATACATAGATCAGAAGAGGGGTGACTGTGACTTTTCACTTTCATGTATGAAAACGTCTGAAATCACCACTGAATTAGTTTTCAAGACGACAAGAACAAGAAAGGCCCCACAAAACTTTCATTTTATCCTGAGATATTGGCAGTCAACTGTTAATACTAGCTATTCAAAATCAACAAGTAAGTAACTCTGTTTCAGATATGCTGGACTATTTTACAATTTAAAAATAACACCACATTTTCAAAATATTGGCTGTCATCCAGCCACAGTTACAGGCAGCAATTACTGGGCCCCAAACGGGGAGGCCAGCCTCCACATTCACCAAAATGTGCACGGTCTACTCATTGAGGTCTGGATGATTAGCACGTTAATGCTCATATAGGCACACACTTAGGTTCAAACAATACGTTGCAATTTGTAACATGTACAGTCTAGGTTTGCTTGACCTGACTTTCTCTGTCAGGAATGGGGGGGCTTGTTTTCCAAGCGCACAGGGTCCCAATTCAGATATGGTTTCAACATTTTCCTCATGGTGTTTTCCCAGCCCAAAACAGCCCCAAAAGTGCATATGCAGCCCACAACAAATAGCCCTCCCTAGGGCAGTTTCGTAAAAATTGTAACATGCTATTTGGCCCATAGGTTGTATGGTCAGAAAAATTCTGTCCATCAGCTGTACACTCATATTACTGCTACTCAATTCTATGCCCATTCAGATCAATAGGCTTACACTGCAGCAACTCTGCAATGATTGCTCTGAAGGGCACCTACCTTGCGGTGGGGCGTACAGTGATATCAGCAAGCCAAGAGCTCCTACAAGCCAAAATTGCTAAGACAGTGAGGAGTTGTACAAGCTCCATGGACACAATCTATACTCATTTTTAGCACTCTACAGCATTAGGCAGCATAGATGGCTTTATAGTGCAACAGCAATCAAAACATGGTATACTGAATTACTTCCAGTTCCCCAGGTAATGTAGGTGAGAAGGCTATTAAGGACACTATCAAAAGACCAGTGCTATTTGTATCTTTTGTCAACCTTCTTGGAGTAATTAATTATCATAAATACAGTGACAATGAAAGCAAAACATATAAAAGAAATAAATGCAAGAAAAGATCTTCTGGGTTGGAAAGCAACGTAGTCTGTATCAAGGGCAATTTCTTCTGGACAGAGCAGTTCCTCAGTTTCTGGGCCTGGAAAGCCACCCTTGTCAATTATCTCCCTGTAACGCTTCAAAGAAGGTCTTGGCTCATATCGGTTGACAACATAATGATAAAGGCCATATTTAGGATCTGTCCTATCAATGAAACAATAGACAAAATAGCCTTGGATGTTGACATTATCCAAGGTGTAGGCTGCAAAACAGAACAAAACAAGAGGGAAGGGAGGAAAAGAAATTAGCATTGTGCTTGCTTAAACAGCAATCCTGTAAACCACCAAATGCTGCTAAATCCTAGGCTTGTGTTCCTTCATATGAACAAGGAAGATGTCTGTAAAAACTGACATGCTGGTGCCACACAAAAAAAGAATTAATTGATCAAATTCTTATGGTATTAAGTGCATATAAGGTGAATCCTTCAATGGTGATATAACACCATCACAAGCTCTCTGTTAAGGACAAAAAGGAGGAAAATTACAAGAGGCAAAATCCAAAAGAAGTCATGCGACACCTTAACAAGTAACCAATCTATCATAGCATTTTGTGGGCCTGAGCCCCCTTCATCAGACACAGGAAATCAAATCCTTAGTTAGCAAATACAGATTGTATATCAACAGACTGTACAAACACACACAAAAGGAAAAATTCTGAGCAGTATAGTTAAAAAGCCATGAAATGTAAGAAGCACAGTCTATGACATTTTTACGCTGAACTCAAAAATGTAGAAGGTAAGCACAGAGACCAACTACAACTGTCATCTGAGTTTGAACAGTTACTTTTGAATTTACCAGGTGACTTGAAGTCAGCTCCATGCCATCAATGGGCTGGGAAATCAAAGCCACATAATTTGCTTTGGGAGTCTGATTCTTTGTTATGTTCTAGAACAGAGGTCCACAGCATTTTTGAGCCTGCGGGTATCTTTGGAATTCTGGTATGTCCCTGGAAGAGTGTTACACTCCACTGAGAACAATCTACTGGTGGTACCTGGCCCTAAAGACCTCTGGCTGTCCTCGACCAGGGCCAGGGCCTTCTTGGCCCTGGCTCCGACCTGGTGGGACTCTCTGCCAAGTACCACCAGGGCCCTGCGGGACTTAATGAAGTTCTGCAGAGCTTGTAAGGCAGAGATGTTCTGCCAGGCCTTTGGTTGAGGACAGCAACGGTTCCATCATGGCCACTACCCTCCTCCTCCTCCTCTTCTCCTTCTTTTTCCAACCATCCTCACTTCAGCCCTCTCCTCACCTGCCTGCAAGCCAGCGAGACAGTCCAGAGTGGGGTAGTGAAGAAACTGTCTGATGCCATCTGAAATAATGTAGTCATCCTTTTTTGATTTGGGTTTTTAATTTGTTTTTAACGGTTGTACATCACCTAGAGCCTTACATCGTAGGGAACAGACGATTTATAGATTGAATAAATAATAATAAACACATGGTGGTGGGCACCATCGCCAAATGACTGCCGTGGGATGCAAAGAAAACCAGAACATTTCGGGGAGTGCAGAACTCTAATAGTAACTCTTCAACATTCCAGGCAGAAGCTCAGCTTAACAGGAAGCCTTTTCAAAAGAACAAATGGTTTAAAAATATTGTCTTGCATACACACAGCTTACCTTCAATCACACAGCAAAAATCTCTGTGCTGTGGTGGCAGCTGCTGCCAAAAGCAATGATTTTTTTTAAAACCTGCAAAGCCAATCAGTTCTCCGATGGCCAATCAGAAGCCCTGCCAGGCAAAAGTCTCACCTGGACCCCACCAAGTTTCTAGAAGCACTTGGCAGGCGTCACGGAAAACACCTGGTGGTGGTGGTTGTGTGTGTGTGTGTGTGTGTGAATATGACAGTTCCCAGTGACGGAGAAATAATAAGCAGCAACATTCTTCTAGGATCCAAGGCTGAGAGAGAAAGGAGGGAACAAGCAAGAACCCTCCAAGGGAAACTGCTGGGGGGGGGGGGCGCACAGAAGTGAAAGAAGCATGCACGGTGGTCAAACAAGTCACAACAAGAATACACAAGGCCCAAACTGGACACACTATTCTGTGTGCTTGTTCCATTTTGAAATGTTGCTTCAAGTCCCTCAGTCTAGCCATAGTCTACTCCTGGACGGACACAGCAGCTTCTAAACTACGGCTGCTGTCTTCATGAAACCTGGATGTCATCTGAAAGGCAGTAACCACTAGAGTTCAGAAAACACAATATTGAGGCTCTAAGATTTTTTAAAGACCCTTACCTTTTAAAGCTTCATTGATATAGCTCTGTATGTAATAGATCCTCAGCTTGTCTTCAGCCGCATCTGGCTTGTCATCAATCCCATTGGCTATGATGTAAATTGGTACATCACCATATTTCATTTTTACCCACTGGAGCAGCTTGCGCAACCCCCACGGCACGACTCTACTTCCACTGGGCGATTCCAGCCAAGTGATGTCATTTAGCATTTGGACCTTGAGCTTTTGATCGTATTTCTCTGGGTCTTCGTTTTCTGAGTCCACAAGTACTGTGGTGTAGTGACTTAAAGCAAAAAAGTCAAACGAACCACGTATTAGCTTTTTTTCCTCCTCTGAGAAATAGGGTAAGTAGAAGTCCCAAACATCTCTACTGTTTCTTTGGTAAGGCCACTGTCTCATCACATCCGGATAGTCACCGTTTCCAAAGATGGGCTCAGCGAACCAGCCAAAGTCAAATTCCAAAACTCGGCTGGCAGCCATTTTGTCTTCTTCAGAAAAGGGGCAGGCTGGCTCTGCCCAATCAGCTTGTAAGGCAATTGATATTTTACCCTTCTGAGTCTTCCTGAATTCTTTATCATACATATGCCAGGCTTTAGCATGACCCTTCAATAGATTATGTGCTGCAATGAACGTCAGGTTCTTGGTGTAAGGCTCATTTATTGTGATCCAAAATTTGACATGCTGGCCAAGCTTTTTAAAGCAAAGTCTTGCATACTCCTCAAAGGCACGCACAGTCAAAGGGTTCTCCCACCCACCATGCTTGGCTAGAGAAACAGGAAGTCCTTGATTCTCACCCATAGGATTCCATAAAGCAACTACAGGGGTTATATTAACTTTAAGTAGTTCGCTGACAAAACACTGATAATAAAACAGGAGTGTGTGGTTAACATAAGACAGGTTACCTGAAGGGAGAATCAAAGACCATTTCAAGGAAAAATAGAAGTGTGTGATGTGTGTTTCTCCAAGTAAAGAAATCTGAAGTCTGATGGCTGCAAGATCAGCACAGTGACGCTTGCGTTTTGGGGCATCAACTCCCTCAACTTTAATGAGCGTATTGGTTCGATAGACATCCCAAATATAAACACTGGAATCAAGGAACTGGGATGGAGTTGTATCAATCTGGAGAAAAACAGAATAGATTCAGTTTGTCACAAAGGGGAAAACATAAGCAGGCAAGCTCAAGTAAGTAACTGGATTTCACAGGAGCCTGGCTATTATTATCACAGTACACTCACAGATTTCAATAGTGTGATAATGATGATAAGCCTTTAAAAATAATCTGCTTCCCAATTAACTGGGCATACCTTATAGCCTATTAAAATATTCTAAGGACTAACAGTGCAACCTTAAGGGTAATTCAGGTTCCATTCCATGTGGCTTAGTATGGTGCCTTCCATGAAGGTAGATTTAGAAGTGTGAAATGCTGCTTAGGGTTGCACTGTTAAGTGTTGCTGCCCTGGTTATAATTTGTGGTTATTGCTCGGTTTTTTACAAAGTTGTAATTCTACTTTATTAAAGTTATATGGATGAAACGTTAAATGCCACTGCGCTCCAAAATAAGGCCATGGGAGGGCTGTGTGAACCATCCCCTCTAGGCTTTGGGGAATTCTAACAGGGTTGCTAAGCCAGAAGTTGCTGTTTCTTCTGGAGAGTTCAGTGCTGGGCACACAGGGGACAGTAATAAAAAGCATCATGTCAGAGGGAAATAGCTTTTCTGGAGAATAATCCCTCGTAGAGTATTAAAGCATGCATTTCCACGAGCACTACGGGAATGCTGTCGGAAATGTTTTTCCACCATGATGCACCTACAAATCATGCCGCCTCAGCCCCGCAGCACAAAATGTTTGAGAGTCCTTCTGAAGCGAAAAATTTGCAAGGTCCAAAAGTGATTGAAAACTCTCTTGTGCTAACTAGGTCAGTAACCTTGCTGGAGTGACTGCTCTCAGCCGTGGGAGGCACCAGCTCCAACTGCTATTTCAGTCTATTAGGGGCCAGGAGAGGTATCAGAGCACCAAGCATGGTGCCAGATGATGATGGCACAGTCCTCAAAAGTATTAAATTTTATCTTTAAAAAACAAAACCCTGTATTCAAAACCTAAACAATTTTCTTTTGGAGAAATCAATACAAAAAAGTCCTATCCTGGGTGCAATCTGAAAACTAAATTTTAAAACGTTACATCTTCATTACAGTGCAGTAAGGTGGGGGCTGAATTATATAAGACCTCTGAATGGATGTTTTTAATAGTGGATCGCAAATTGGGGTGGGGGAACGGATTCAGACAGAGGTTATGGCACTGATGGGTCAACCTTTCTTCCTTACACCATCAAACAGTGCCCTGGAGCCAGTATTTGCCTCTGGCGACGAGAGGGGAAATAGCTGCCTGTCTGTTTCTCCCTGTGGGGGGAGCAATAACTCCAGGGTAGCAACTAAGGCTAAGAAAAAAACATGTGGGAGAGGGTTAAAAAAAAAAGTCCTCCCCTATGACACAGCCCCAGTCGGTACACCATTTACCATCTTATTTACCAGTGTGGTACAGAAGTTAAAGGAGCTGCGGTGGCTCAAGTGGTTAAGACGCTGAACTGCAGGCTTTGGAAGGTCGGTAGTTCAGCAGTTCGAGACCCGGGTGCCACATGACGGAGTGAGCTCCCGTCTCTAGTTCCAGCTCCTGCCAACCTAGCAGTTTGAAAGCAAGAAATTGCAAGTAGATAAATAGGTACCACTTCGGTGGGAAGGTAACAGCATTCCGTGCACCTTGGTGTTTAGTCATGCTGGCCACATGACCACGGAACCGTCTTCGGACAGCGCTGGCTCTTCGGCTTTGAAACAGAGATGAGCACCGCAACCCTAGAGTCGGATTTGACTGGCTTTCGAGCAAGGGAACCTTTACCTTTACCTTTACAGAAGTTAATGTCATTTTAGGATCTGAAAGACCAAGGTTCAAATCCTCACTCTGTCACAGAAACTTTCTGGGTGACCTTAGGCCAGTCAAGATGGGTAGCCATGTTAGTCTGTCTGTAGCAGTAGAAAAGGGAAGAATCCAGGTTAAAGACTAACAAAATTTGTGGCAGGGGATGAGCTTTGGTGAGTCACTGCTCACTTCTTTAGATACAGGTCAGTCACACACTCTTCACCTAACCTACCTCACAGGGTTCCTGTGAGGATAAAACAGAGGAGAAGATAATGATGTAAGCTATTTTGGGTCCCCACTAGGGAGAAAAACTGGGTATGAATGAAATAAATAAAATAAAACAATTAACATGGGGTGGGGGAGCTATTTACAGAGTTTCCAACATCTCACCTAGTTTGAATCTGAGTCTTCAACCCCACAGAACCAAATGATCAGTTATACAACGATAATCTGGCAACAGGTGAACAAGATCAGATGTCAATCCAAGTCTTAAAGAGCTCTCAATCTAAATCTGCACATCCCAGACCCTCCCACACCTGACACAGAATAAGGAACAAATTAATTGTTTACATTTATCATTTACATTTATGGCACTTTAGAGAACAACATAACCCAAAAGGAAAGATCTCTGCCTCAAGAAGCTTACATATACATTTCAACAGTGAGAGATAGAAAACAGAGAAAGGAAAAAAGAGGCAAGGGTAACCAATAATGAGAGGGGAGAAATTGGAGACATAAGGACCACAGAAGCTGTATCATGGGTCTATCTCCATAACCATATGATCAGCCACCAGATAAAATCTGGGCTGTTTTTCATCTGTTTTCTGCCCAGAAAAACTGAGCACAATCTGAAAACTCACACTATATTATATGACCATCATGCAATGCCTGAATGCATCCAAGGGATAATGTGTTGCCAGAGGAAGCACCCAACTGAGCTGTTATAAAATACGTTTGATAATCTCATTTCACAGGAAATGAAAAGGAAGATTTGATTCTGTCATTTGACTTACGTGGAGGTTATTTTCAATAACTCCCCAAGCAAAATTACAGGGGAAAATCCCTTCTATCGGCTGGTTCTCCGGTAATGGAAGGAAACCATTTTTCCCTATCACCTCTTGGTAGAAATGTGCTGAAGACTTTGGCATCAACTCTTTATCACGGCTTTGAAAGTCAATATAAAACAGACCCCTTCGAACGTTGCCTCTGACCCATTCAAAGCCATCCATGAGTGACCAGACCGTGTACCCAATGACAGGGACTTCATCGTACCGAATAGCTGAGAATGAAACAAAAAGTAAACAAGCAAATAAAACAAACGATATTCTCAAGTAGAATGCCCTGCAAGCACCTGAACAGTTATATATGTATTCCACAAAAAGTACAATTGTTTGCCCATTTTACAATAGTTTTCAAACTGTGATGCCCTAGCCTAGGCTATCACTATGGGTAGTGCACTGTCAGAGTAGAAGTCACTTTGCCACCAGTTCCAACCTGTGATTTAACAACAACAAAGGAACCTGTGTGTCCCTCCCCTTTTAGAAGGTGTAACCATGTGTGCTTGTAACTGCATTGTTTGTACTGTGCTAATGCTATATGTTTGTTGAATGTCTTTACATTTGTGCGTATGGGATAAGGGGATTGCTGTGTGTGTATGGCTTGCTTTGCATCTCATGCTTGCATCTGGATGAGCAAGGCTTGTGTTGCCTGTGCTACAGAACACGTGCTTCCCTGCACCTTCCCAGCGTGCCTCAGGACAAAGAAGACAAACGCCATTATGCTCAGTTTGGAAACTTGGATGAACAACAGGTTTCCCCACCATTGCTGATCTGTGGGAAAACGCGTAGCCCATCTTCCTATCTGGTTTGGAATCACAAAGAACACATCCTTTATTGCCTTCCTGGACCAGGCACATCTCTGCAAGTCAAAAGTTGCTATGAAGATATGACTTTGACACCTGGCCACATGGCCCCCTTTGAAGTTAGGATAGAGCATTTGAATATTGCCCCTTCCCCTTAGGTAGGACGTCACAATCCTCTAACCTATAGGATAGTAAAGGGGACGGATTCTAGGGGTTTATTGGCCCTAAGCCAAACCCAAACACTAGGTTTTAAAAAGAGAAACACGGCCTTTGTTTCTCTGGTTAACCCATCTTTCCCTCACCTTGCAACTTAAGTACCGCAGGTGATTCTTACTGCGTTCTCGGGAGTCGCGACCCGAGAACCCGCACGGGCCTGGCAGGACCATTCCGTGTGCTTTAGAATCCCACCCGCTGATACTTGAGTTTCCCCCTTTCATCTACTAAGGAGATTTCTTCTCAACGTGGACCTCAGATAAGTATAAGCGACATCCTTCTGTGTTGTCCCCTT